GGTACAATCTCGGATCACTGCAACCTCTGCCTTCCTGTTTTGAAGTGATTCTCTTGCTTTAGTCTTCTGAGTAGCTAGGATTACAGGCATGCGCCACTATGTCCGGCTAATTTTTTGTATTTTTAGTGAAACGGGGTTTCATCATTCTGGCCAGGCTGGTCTCGAACTCCTGACTTTGTGATCTGCGTGCCTTGGCCTCCCAAAGTCCTGAGATTACAGGTGTGAGCCACCATGCCTGGCTTAATTTTTATATTTTTAGTAGAGACAAGGTTTTGCCATATTGGCCAGGCTGGTATTGAACTCCTGATCTCAGGTGCTCCTCCCACCTTGGCCTCCCAAAGTGTTGGGATTACAGGCATGAGCCACTGTGCCCTGCCATTAAAGCAGATTTCTAACAAAGGCAGTCTGTAACTTGATTGAGATTTTTCAGTTTCTCAGTGATAAACTTAATGTGTACTTCACTGTATGGGCCTTAAAATAGAGAATACAGTGCTTACTCTGTGTGTGTGTGTGTGTGTGTGTATGTGTGTGTGTATAATTATTATTTTTTTTAAACGAGGTCTTGCTGTGTTGCCCAGGCTGGTCTTGGACTTTTTGGGCTCAAGCAATTCTCCCACCTCAGCTAGGATTATAGGCATATGCCACCACACTCCACTTTAAACATAAATTATAAATTATATATAAAGTTAGTATGCTTAAAGGAGGAAATGTGAAAATAGCATAGGTAAGACTTAAATAGGACAAATAAATCATTTAATTACATAAAAGGATAGTATATTACATCTGAACATCTCTTAGGTTTTTAAAATATTGTGTTAACTTTCAAATGACATTTTATCACATTGAATTAACTCCAACCTTACTATTTTTATTTTCAGATGTTTAGGATAAAAGGAGGAGATAGTATAGTATGAATTTCCCCAAATAAAAAATTATGCTTACTGAATATATATAGTAGTGCAATGTAACTGTAAAAGCAACTAAATTGGGAAGTTGTCTGCCATGGTGCTTCTCAGATTTTAATGCACATAGGAATAACGCAGAGATCTTGGCAAAATGCGGATTTTGATTCACTAGGTATGGATGGTGCCTGAGATAGCCTGCATTTGTAATAAGTTCCTAGGTGATACTGATGCTGCTTTTCTGCATGAATAGCAAGAAGAGTAACCTATAACTGAATTTTTTAAAAAGTTTTTCTTGATACATAATAGATGTATGATTTGATACAAAGATATATCAAAATACATGTGCATACTTTTGGGGTGCATGTAATTTTTGATATTCATATAAGATATGATCAAACCAAGGTAATTGGGATATCCATTACCTTAAACGTTTATCTTTTCTTTATGCTGGAAATATTCGAATTCTCCTTTTCTAGCTGGTTATGAAATATACAGTAGATTATTATTAACTATAGTCACCCTACTGATCTTATGCTGAATCTTATTTCTCCTTTCTTAACTGTATTTTTGTACCCATTAACCTCGTTTCATCCCCTGACCCCCAGCCTCTTGTAGCCACCAGTCTATTCTCTATCTTCATGAGATTCACTTTTGTAGCTCCCACATAGGGGTGAGACTGTGCAATATTTGTCTCTCTGTGCTTGCCTTATTTCACTTTACATAATGACCTCCTGTTCCATTCATGTTGCTGCAAATGATAGGATTTTATTCCTTTTTGTGGCTGAGTAATCTTCCCTTGTTTATATATACCCCCCCTTTTTAAAAAATTTTTCTTTTCTTTTCTTTTCTTTTTTTGAGATGGAGTCTCACTCTGTTGCCCAGGCTGGAGTGCATTGGCTCCATCTCAGCTCACCACAACCTTCATCTCCTGGATTCAAGCAATTCTCCTGCCTCAGCCTCCCAAGTAGCTGGGACTACAGGTGCGTGCCACCATGCCCAGCTAATTTTTGTATTTTTAATAGAGACAGTGTTTCACTATGTTGACCAGGCTGGCACATTTTCTTTATTCATCCATTGATACACACTTGGATTGATTTCATATTTTGACTATTGTGAATAGTGCTGCAGTAAACATGGGACTGCAGATAACTCTTCGTTATATTGATTTCCTTTCTTTTGGATATATACCCAATAGTGGAATCGCTGGATTATATGATAGCTCTATTTTAGGATTGTTTTTGTATTTTCGAGGTGGGATCTTATTCTATTGTGAGGACTGATCTTGAACAACTTGGCTCAAATTGTCCTCCTGCTTCAGCCTCCTGGGTAACTGGGATTACAGGTGCACACTATAGCACCTGGCTTATTTTTAGTTTTTAGAGGACCCTTTATGCACTTTGCCATAATGGCCATACTAATTTCATATCTGAATTTTTTTAAATAATAATCTTCTGTCTAACCAACTCTGAGCTACTTAGATCAAAATACTTCAGAGTTATCCGGGATCCTTGCTCCCTAACAAATACTCCACGTTGAATTTACCAGCAAATCCTGATGGCTGTATTTTCAAAACATCTGAAATCTGAGTACATTTCATCACATCACAGTTTATTCCACTGTGGTATAAGCTACTATCATCTCTCCCCTAGATTATTTCAGTAGTCTCCTTACTGGCCTGTTCTTTTCCCCTTGCTTCCTCTGTTCAGAAAGCCCTAGTTAACCTATGTTACTCAGAGAAGTCAGTCTTACCTTAGCCTAGAAGATGCTACATGGTCTTTTATTATTACCTCTTTGTCCTCATCTGCTACTCTTCCTCTTTCACTGTATTCTAGTCACTCATCTCTTTGTTGTTCCTTGAACATTCTAGACATGTACCACTGTCTTAGGACGTTCATATTGGCTGTTCTCTCCAGCAAAAATGCTCAGCCTGGAAGCATTGGATGGTAGTCACATAACTGTCTCCCTTGCTGCTCTCTGATTGCCAGTTCAAATGTCCCTTTATCACAGAAGCTTTCCTGAGTATTCTGTATGAAACAACAGCTTCCTCTTTTTTCATTTCTTATTAGCCACACTGTTTTTACTATTTGTTTATTTTGTCTTCCCCACTAGAACATAAAGGTAGAGATTTCTGTCTTGTTCAGTACTAAGAGAATTGCCTAGTAGTATACCTATAGTATTCAATAAATCTTTGAGAAAAAAAAAATCCCACAAAAGGCCATTGGGCCTTTGCTTGAATACTTTCATTGATAGGTTACTCTACCTCCCTTCAGAACAGTTCATTTAATTTGAAGATTATTGCTAGTGTTCTTAAGCTTTCTATTCTTCCAAACTAAACATTCTGACTAGTTTACCTTTCTGCATATAATAGATTTTCCAGGGCTGTCACTATTTTAGTCATTTTCCTTGGACATTTACGTTTGTCTTTAAACATCGGAACTAAAACAAATGTTGCACATATAGGCTAAGAGTGAGAAATTTTCCTCATCCGACTTTTATTGTCAGACTGATTGGCTTTAAAAAAAAAAAAAGGTATTCTAATGCTGACTCACTGTGAGGTTGTATTTAATCTGCTACAACCTTTAAATCATTCTTTATATATGCTAGTAAGTTTCCTCTGCTTTTACAGTTGGTTTTTGAACTGTAAGTATGGGACTTTATGTTTATCTCTTTATTTAACCAAATAGTGAATTATTTCTTGGGCAGTTCATACCTTTAATGTAGTGACTACCATGTGTAAATTATTTTAGAAACTAATAGAAAAATTCAGATACATATAGGAGAATCACAACTGATGAAATCAGTGGTTTCTTGTGACTAGATAGAAACATGTATATGGACATTTCCTTACAACTGTGTGTCTTGCATCAAGCCAGGAAGGAATATTATAAGAGTTTATTTAAGGACAGGTGCTATGGCTCATGCCTTTAATTCCAGCACTTAGGGAGTTGGTGGCTGGAGGATTGCCTGAGCTCTGGAGTTGGAGACCGGCCTCGGCAACATAGCAAGACCCCATCTCTTAGGAAAAAAGAGTTGATTAAAAAAAATAGTTTTACTTTATAAATTTGACTGCCAGATTAACCCCCTTTCTACATTTCTAATTTTTACCTCTTTATAAGCACCATTTTCCTAGTCTTTTAGGCCAGGATATTTTTTGTCTTCCTCACTGTATTTCTCACCAAATCTCAGAAATTCTTCAGCCATTTAATTTCATGCTTTTCTAATTTACTTCACAGCCAGTTACTTTAGCTGTGCAAATCTCTCTGCTTCTAATCTCTCTCCATTGTAATCCATTCTATACTTGGCTGGCATATCAACCTTTTTTTAAAAAAAAATCACATCACTTTTATCTTTTCACTCTTCTTCAGAGGATCTGTAAGATTAAGGTTCTCAGTCAGTCATTAGCGATCCATGTATAATCTAACCCTACTTGATTTATATTGCTTTGCTGATTTCTTTGATTACCCTCACTGTGATTTTTTCAGATGAAATTCATGGCTTACATACCAGCCCCCTCCTCAGTAGAGACACATACATATACACACACAGCTGTCTTTTTAGTAGACACACACACACACACACACACACACTCTCTCTCTCTCTCTCTCTCTCTCTCTCACTCACTCTCTCTCACTCATTCACTCACTCACTCTTTTCTCTCATCCACTCTTTTCTCTCACTTAATTGTGAGATTGGCCTAGCTAAATGCTATTTCATTTCTCCATACTATGTTGCTTCTTGAATGCCTAAGTTCCTCAACACATATAACCTATCACATTCTCTGAAAACTCCATTCCAAATTGATCTCTGTTCCTTAAGCTTCAATTGCATTTATGTCTGTGCCACAAAAATATATCATTTAGGCTTGTTGCTTAATAGTTATATGAGGCTTTTCCTTTCAATAAGACTGTGCACTTTGATAGGAAGGAATATAAAAGAGTACTGGATTATCCACAAACTGGCTTGGCTTGGCTTGGTTTGTACTGTGTTCTTTTATGTGTAAAATAATTTCTTACTGTATAGAATTATTTTTTTAATTGATATTATTGGGAGAAGGCAAACATAAAAAATCTCTATTGTAATTTATCTTCTAGGAAACCCTTTTCCAAAGAGAAATGAAGAGGAAAACTGTATATACCCTAAATATGGGAGATAAGAAGTATGAAGATATGGAAGGTAACTTTTCATTTCTATAAACTTTTCATTCTTATAAAGTTTATTTGTTGAAAGCAAAACAGTGTTTCCAGACTGTCCGCTTGTATACATTTCAAATTACACAAGGAGTTTTTTGTTTTTACTTACTTTTGTTGTTCTTAAATTCTGAAATAAGCTGCCTAAGTATATACATATTTTTTCCTCCCATATTTTATTTTCAGTTGATCAAGTTTTTTGGTTTGTTATTCCCTTTTTTCTTAAGCTTTACTCTCTACTGGTTTAGGAATTACTGTTTCTGTTTTTGTCTTTGTCTTTTTAAAAAAGAAAAAAAAATGGCATTGATACTATCCTCTGCTTCTAAAGCTAATTTAATCTTCACTGCCAACTGAAGAACCCAAGTACTCTTTAACTACATCCTAATCCCAATTTATAGATTATAGTTCTATTATTTGAGTTCTGTTATTTCAAACACCACCAATTAGATGATGTTTTATGCAGGCAATGCTTGCTAATTTCCACTTTATTTATTTATTTTTCTTGAGACGGAGTCTCACTCTGTTGCCGTGCTGGAGTGCAGTGGCATGATCTCAGCTTACTGCATCCTCTGCCTCCCGAGTTCAAGCGATTCTCCTATCTCAGCCGTCCAAGTACCTGGGACTACAGGTGCACGCCACCATGCCCAGCTAATTTTTATATTTTTAATAGACATGGGGTTTCACCATGTTGGGCAAGTTGGTCTTGATCTCTTGACCTTATGATCCAGCCAACTCAGCTTCCCAAAGTGCTAGGATTACAGGGGTGAGCCACCGTGCCTGGCCTTATTTCTTTTCTTTCTGAAAATGAATCTGAGAAGCTTCTTTAGTGAAGGTCTATTGGTGGTAAACTCTTAAGTTTTTGTATCTATTTTATCCACTTTAAAACTATTCAAAGATAATTTTACTGGGTAGATAATTCTGGAATGATAGTTTTTTTTTCTCAGCACTTTGAAGATATTATTTAATCATATTTTTTTCCTTGTTGTCTAGAAATTTCTTCTCAGTCTAGTTATTTTCTTGTTGGTGAACTGTCTTTTCCCATTTTCTGCTTTTAAGGTCTTGGTTTTATCTTTGACAGTTTACGGTTTTACTCCATTGTTTCTAGCATGGATTATTTTTATTTACCTTAACAGTATACATTGTGTTTCCTTTACTGGTTCATGTTTTTAATCATTTCCCAGCCATTGCCTCTTTGTTGTCTTTATTCTCTTTTGGCTTTCAATTAGTGTGTTAGACCTTTCTGTAACCTCGTTTCTTAACCTGTGTTTCACAGGCTATGTCTTATATTTCCTCCTCTGTTTCCTAGAGTCTAGCTAGTTTGCTCAAATTTGTCTTCCAGTTCACCAGTATTTTTTCTTTGGATCTAACCTGCTGATTATCCATTTTATGTGGTATTTGAAACTTCTGATATTTGAAGTTAGTGGATTTCTAAATGTGTTTTCTGCTGCTTCTCACTCAAGACAGCTTATTTTCTTAGGTTTGGTAATGTTTGATTATGAGCCCATATTGGATAAATTAAATCTGTGAAGGCCTAATTTAGGTATTCTTTCCTTGAGAGGATTTGTGTTTATTTCTTCCAAGGCCCATGCTAGGACCTCTTTAGCCCCATTTAAAGAGTCTTGGCTTGATCCTGGAGTCTGTCATGATTATTTTTCCTTCCCGGGGTGGTTCCAAGGCTTAGTCTCCAGATGTAAACACTAGTGTGGACAGTCGTGCCCAGGACAATTCCAACTTTGCTTGATATTTACACTTCACATTTCAGCTGACCATTCCTTTATTTTTGTTTTATATTTATGTCAAATTTCAGAGTATCTTATTTTCTTATGAATGAGCAATGCATACTTATGGATGAGGTGGTTACCTTACTTTCTGGTGGGTGTTTAAAGTTGTACAAATCCCCCTCTAAGGAGAATAATTTGGTAATATCTATTCATATTACAAATGTATACACACATTACTCTAGCAGTTCCATTTTTCAGAAATTATACTACAGATAATACTTTTTAAAATGTGAAGTAACTAAATTTTTATTGCAGCATTGTTTGTCATAGCCAAAAGTTGAAAACAAGTGAATGTCCAGTAGATTTGAATAACGAACAAAAAGCAGATTCGTGTGGATAGTATTCTTGCATTTGTGTGAAGGAAGGAATGTGGAAGAGTGTATTAGCATTTGCTTTTCTGTGCATTAAAAATTCTTAGGAAGAACACAAAAGAAATTTAACAGTTGTTACTGGATGGGGGTAAATCTGAATCAGAAATTTGCTCTTAAATTTTTGAACCACGTGAATATTACATTTACTTTAAAATTAACTAATGAAAAGTTTGTTTCGCTCCCCTATTAAAAAATATAAGAGAGTATATTTTGGGCAGGTTGGGCTCAAGCAGTATGTTTGTTGCAATTTATCTAGGATCTATTTGCTTTATAATAGGAGGGCCCTTTAGAGTATTCTAGTCCAGTATACTCCTAGAAGCACAAGTTATTTGGTCTGGAAAACTTGAAAGCACATATGGCTGTTTTACTTTACAGGTGAAGAAAACAGAGATAATACTGTTCCCACTGGTCTGTTGTACAGTGAGGCTGACAGATGCCCAATATGTCTTAATTGTCTGTTAGAAAAGGAAGTTGGTTTTCCAGAAAGCTGTAATCATGTCTTCTGTATGACTTGTATTCTTAAATGGGCAGAGGTAAGTTTGACACATTAATGTATTTTAATTTCCTAGCATGATTTTATTTAACCTAAAGAGTTGTTACTGCCTTTCATAAATTATTTCACAGTAATGTATTTTCTTCCTACTTTGGTCAAATACTGGTATTATTCAAATCGTTAGTTATTTTCTTGTAATTTTCTTTTACCAGCTTTTTATTTAGCAAATAACATTTTTAAAATGCATACTCTTTTTAAAAAAGTTAATAACCTATGCTGGGCGCAGTGGCTCATGCCTGTAATCCCAGCACTTTGGGAGGCTGAGGTGGGCGGATAAAACCTGAAGTGGGAGTTCGACACCAGCCTGACCAACATGGTGAAACCCCATCTCTACAAAAAATTACAAAAGTAGCTGGGTGTGATGGTGCCTGCCTATAATCCAAGCTACTCGGGAGGCTGAGGCAGGAGAATTGCTTGAACCCAGGAGGCAAGGTTGCAGTGAGCCGAGATTGCGCCACTGCACTCCAGCCTGAGCAAGAAGAGCAAAACTCTGTCTCATAAAAAAAAAAAGAAAGAAAGAAAGAAAGAAAAACAAAAGGTTAATAACCTTAGAGGAAGAACAGATCAAACAATTTTCTCTGGTACAAATGCAATAATCCGTTTTTCAGTGTACTTGACTGTGTACTTAACAGGATAATATCTGTTTGCCACTAATAACACCGTCTGTCTGCTTTTTGTTTTATATTTTTCAGGGAATTTTCACATAGGTTATTTGATTTTTTCTTTATGATACGATAGTGTCCTTCCATTTTACAAATGAGGAAACTTGGATTTTATGTTCTATAACTTAGTCAAGATCTCATAGTTTAAGAGGCAGAAGTGAATTTAAAATTGATGTTCTAATTCCTGTTTTTAATTTAGTATGGACTAATTTCAGAGTCTGAATTAGAGATATTACCGTCACAGACAAGTGAATAAGAAACTCGACATTTTTGACTTTTAATGTATTATGTTGACTCAATTTGGGCCAAATACTTTGAAGTAAATATTAATTTATTATAAGCCTTATTGTTATGAAATGTTAAGTAAAAATTTATTGTTTATATTAATCGTGCTATATTTTCTGAGTTAATAGTTTGTCAATCTGTAAAAATTAGTAAAGAAGATAATATCAAAAATATTTTAACTAGCTCCATTCAAATTGTTAATGTTCTTAAATACATTGGGATTAATTGTATATCACATAATTTGGTTTTCAAAGTGCTGTGTTTTGCTTAAATTTTCATTAATAGTGTAGAAAGGAGAATATAACTGTGTATTGACTCTATGGCTGAGTTCTGAGAAAAGGGAAGAGAAAATTTGTTAAACAAATTGAATTAATAATAATATACATAGAAATTATTTTAATTTAGTAAAATCTAAACTGGTCTTTAACAAGAAGGGACACTAAGGATAGGTGAAAATGCATTTTGGGGAAAAGTATTTTGAGTTTTGCTGGTAAATCTCTCCATGTGTTTGTAGGATCACTGTTTAATGGAATAATGCATGTTTTTTTTCTGCCACCCAAATAAAGATTTTATCTGTGTTGAATTTAGTGCACATGGTTGCTTTGTGGTTAAATTTTTTTAGAGATTTTGCTTCAGGTAAAGAAATACTGTTGGATGCGTGGAAGGTTTCAATACAGCGCTTTTCATAAGATTGTATTCAGTGACCACATAATTGTGAACTTCAACAACTTAATCTGAGTATATGTTTTTCTCTAAGAAGATTATAATGTATATATAATAAGTAGATATGATTCTCCATCCTTTTTTTACAACTTCATGTGCATCTTTCACACAACCATAAGCTTTACCCTGATGTACATATTCCAGATTTCTCTAGTTATCTAGAGGTGGAATTGTAGGTTGTAGATTATGCACATACTCAACTCTATTAGATAGTAGCAAACTTGTCTATATTTTTAACTCTCGTTGAATATTTTTAAGTTGAAAATACTGGATAACATACATAGTATGGCACCCAACACCTTTCTCGCATGTAATATTTTTCAAATTGCTTTTCAAAAGAAAGTACTTATCTGTTATACTGCTGTCATAAATTGTGATGTCAGGTGGGCAGGGAGAAGTTGTGATATTATTTAAACAAAGGTAATTAACCGTTAAAGGGAGAATAAACAGAATATTCTTTCATTGTCCCTGATGGCGATAGCAGTAAGCCGTTAAATAAACCCTTCAGTTGAGCAGTAACAAGAGAACAGTCTACTAATAAATTGCCTATTATGAATCATAAGTGAATGCTGGCTAAAAAACTCACGTAGACTTTAAGTTTTCAGTTTGAATCTTTTATTGCTGTGATAAAAATAGCTATGTTTTGAAGCATGTAAGTGCTTTGACAAATAGAATCAGATTTCAGATTCAGAAATGTGGGTTTTTTTTTTTTTTTTTATCATTATAAATTAAGCTCCATCCTCTCATTTCCCTCAATCTCCTCACATTTAAAAGCAAAATTTACAGATTACTTTGGATTTCAGGATTAGGAATATGTGTGTTCAGTCTCCTAACAGGCCATGCCTTATACTAAGGCTTTCTTACACATTCTGACATTTAATTTCATTTAATTCACTGTTAATCTTTATTTGCTATACAAGACAAGGATTCTAAAATTGTGATTTTTAAGTACCTCAGGGGATAACATGAAGTTAAAATCTTTTTTAAAAAAATATCTGTGGCTTATAATTTTACAAATGTTTACTTTTTTTCTGAGACAGAGTCTCACTCTGTCACCCAGGCTGGAGTGCAGTGGCATGATCTCAGCTCACTGCAACCTCCACATCCCAGGCCAAGTGATAATTATGCCTTAGCTCCTAAGTAGCTGGGACTACAGGCACGTGCCACTGTGCCGGGCTCAGTTTTTGTATTTTTAGTAGAGATGGAGTTTCCCTGTATTGGCTAACCTGGCCTCAAACTCGTTACCTCAAGGGTCTTCTCGTCTCAGCCTCCCAAATGGCTGGGATGAAAGTTCACTTCTAGTAGAAGAGTAGAAATCAAAGTGAGATTTACAGTAGTTGGAAATCTGCATAATAAGAGAACAGTACAATTTGCATTTAGGATCATCTTTCTAGATTTCTGTATCTTTCAAAATTTCTGTGCTTTCTCAGATTTGTGCCCAAGGTTCACTGAAATAGGATTCAGAATGGATATCAGACACCAAAAAAGGACTCATTTATTTACTTTCATCTTAATATTTTAGTCGTGGAACACATTCTTACAAACACTGGTCTTTAAGAAACTGATGTTTTGAATAATTAAAGTGTTTTGTGGTCTAGTATGTTTATTTTGGACACACAGATCAAAGTTAGTTTCAGTCTTTCCAAGCTCTAAAATTTCAGTTCTGTGGTTATTTAAACAAAAGCTAGGTAGGTGTGTCATAGAATCCTCTGGGGCAAAAGGATTCAGGGTGAACCTGTGATAGACTTCATGGCCCATAGCCTAATTGCCTGCCTTTAGGGACACTAGAACAAATTGAAATTAATCATGTCCACTGTGACTATTTTTAGTTTCTAGGAATCCGTAGATGGTAAGCTTGTTGAGTTATAAAATAATGATGATTATACAAAATAGAATATTGAACAGTGACACAATAATTGACATTAAGGAAGGCTGAAATTTTTGTTAATTTAGACCATCACTGTTAGAGCCAACAATTTGAAATTAAAAGACCTTTGAATGGATTAAATGTATGTAGAACCAGTATACTAAAGTTTATTGGCTATTCAGTTAGAAAGTTATTTTACCCATACTGTGAGCAAAAAACAGATATACACTTATTGATAGCTTTTAATAAATTTATCTTAGCTTGTGCAGTTTAATTAGGAAGGTAAAATACAGAGAAATCTTGACACGACAATTGATTATAATTATGATTTCCTACAGACAAGATAATCTCCTACACACACACATAGTTAAGTAAATGGGATTTATTGGCCGTGCATGGTGGCTCATGCCTCTAATCCCAGCACTTTGGGAGGTCAAGAAGGGTGGATCACTTGAGCTCAGGAGTTCAAGGCCAGCCTGGGCAATATGCTAAGACCTCATTTCTACTGGGGTGGGGCGGGTGGGAGGGGGGAGTACAAAATTTAGCCAGGCATGGTGGAGTATGCCTGTAGTGCCAGCTACTTGGGAAGCTGAGGTGGGAAGCTTGGAGGATCAGTTGAGCCCAGGAGGTCAAAACTACAGTGAGCTGTGATTGTGCCACTGCACTTCAGCTTGAGTGACAAAATAAGACCCTGTCTCAAAAAAGAAAAAAAAAAAAGATTCATTATTTCCCGCAGTTGATGAGAAGTGATTAAAACTTTGAACCTTAAAGGGTCATGGTTTGAAGACATATGTTTAAAGCATTTGAGTTCTTACACTATTTAATGGAACCTGCAGCATATGTGATGAGGATGTTTTTGATATCTGCTGACATTCTTTTCCCTTTTAAGTAATATGAAATATATCCCTTATTTTTTAAGTATTATTTTTTTAATGTGATTGGTTTCCCATAGTAAGCAGATTATTCTTCCTCAATTTATTTATCTCATTCATTTTGTATCAAATGTCAACAGCTTCAATGTGAGACAGTAAGGTTAATGAAATCAAAATTGGGCAGTTGGAAAAAGCATGGTTTCTCTCATGAAATTAGAAATGAAGTCTCATTTAGGTGACATGCAGTTCTTGAAGAAGTCAACAATGTTCAACATAGATGAGGATTATATTTTTGAATTAATAATGTATACCGAAAAATTAAGACATGAGTTGACTTACATCTGGACTACAAATATGTTTTATATACATGTGTTTCTAAGTGGAAATTTCTCCATTCTGGTTATTAGACTACTTTTTAGTAATATAATTTAGTAAAGCTTTATTATCTGGGATTTTTCAATCAGTTTTTCCTCAAATTCTAATTTAAAAAAAATTAAACTAACCAGAACCCAGAACCCTGACTGTTTTGTAGCACTCTGTGAACAGTAATGTAAATGCATCTGTGTAGTAC